CACTTCCTCCCAGTTATTTTATCGCGCAAGCTCGGAAATATATACAGAAACTATATAGAAATGAGATCAGATCCCACATAAGATGATATAGATGAGACCCCACATAAGATATATAATTAAATCTGACCGTTTTCACTATTATGGTAATACGTATTTGCGACGCGAAAACAATACCTACTTTTTGAAGAAGAAGGCCACTGTGAAACCGTCAATATCATTTCTGCTGTTTGTCGATCACGCTAGAAATCTTCAAATCTTTTCGCGCTCAATCGCTATATAAACACGCGTAACACTCTAGCACACACGTTCTGTACACTGTCTTTCTCTCTCGTTATCACCCTTGAACCTCGCATAGACCGACCATCGCGCAGTCCATCCCGTAATGTCGCGGCTCTCGCGGGTGTCTATTTTGCCGCACTGCTTTGCGAGGAACTGGCGCATCTTGTTCGCGGGTAACGACGAGGAAGGCACGACGATTCGAACGTAAACCCACGAACGCCCCATTGATAAGAGTTATCAAACAAACGCGTCTGACGTATCATTTGCGCTAACCTCGGGTACGATTCTGATACGGATTATTCGGCTGTACAAAAACATTTCACCGACAGCGCGCGCGCGCGGCTTCCAAAGAAGGAGTTTATCTTTATCACCATCCATTAGCAGCGATTGGTATCTACCGTCTTGAGACAGTTCGCGATTTTCTCGGTGGCGAAAATACGTTGGAAATCTCACATTATAAATTATGTCATCATGCGCGAGAAACAAATGTGTTTATCCTCCTGTAACGTTATCATGCATCTTTTCTTCCGTATCGCGAGATAAGATTCGCCTTAAGTCGCGATAAATCTATCGCCGGTGTAATAGTCTAGGTCGTACGCTGACCTGTTCGCGTGCGAGTGTCTCATGTCACGTAAGTCATCCTCATGAGTGTAGATACATGTACGAAGTATATCCTGAATATTTATATAAGTTCCATTCTCCAAAGAAACCGCCTAAATTTAAATATCGCGATGCAATGTTAAGTTAAATATGTTCTGAACTTTCTTTTATCATTAAAAGCGTCTTTAAAAGTGACTTACAAGCCTTCTGATTGGCTATAAGCCGCTTTTCGAGGTGCTTTTAGTGTTAAAAGAGAGTTCAGAACATGGCCTAAAAAGTACAATTCTTACGACCGATATCGTGTAACTAAAAACCTGTAAATATATTAAAAAATGGCTTTGCCGACGGCTTGATAATGTAAATAACTTGAAGCGCCTTCGATCTCGAGAAGAGAAATTGTTGCACAAGAAAAATTCTAAGGAAAAATCTCTTAGGAAAAATTCCAGTGACAAAAACTATAAAATTAAATTCGGTTTTTGTTCGGCTCTTCCTCCTTTTACCTTCGCATTCTTTGCAACGGATCATCTTCGGAGGAACGACATTCTTCAGAGCCTTCTTCTTTGTAGTTCGATCGAGGGTCAAACTAGCCACTCTTCTCAGCACGATACCTTCGCTTACGGAAGATTCGGTGATGCTGTGCCGTCTTTGAAGAGTGGTGCTCGATGTCGGGCTCAATGCGTCTGTGTTCTCGCTCAGCGCTACATTCAAAAGAGACACATTTGTTAATAAGCACTTCACAGTTGTTGATTCATACAGTAGAAAGAAGATTATGAGGGGAGGAGGAGGAGAATTTAATTGATTCGTTACTTCTTCGAAACGATACTATGATAGCCGCATTATGAAAAGATACTTTAAAGCGCATTAAGATACAATCAATTGAAAATATCTGTCAGATATATTCAGATGCAATCAGGAATAAATGACGAAGATAAGGCTTTCTACTTTTATGATCTCGTATGCCGAAAAGATATATATAGTCCTTAAGAGGAAGAACCGTGGAAAAGCTCGAAATTTTCAAAATCTTGAGCACCATAGAGAACATTAAGACGTCGTGAGACACTGTTCGCATGCAAAAGATAACAACAGATTAAAAAATCCATATTTCTGAAATTGTTTCATCAAATGATGAGAGACTAATAAAGCCGCGCTTACCTATTCGGGGACTCAGCATCGACAGGTGAATTTTCTTATGCCTCGAGATTGTAAACGCCGATTTCTCCTCTTTGTTGCGGCTCTCTGGAGCCGGCTTCTTTTCGGGTGGTACTCTCGCCGCTTCCGCCGCCGGAACATTCGCGCCGGAAATCGAGGCGAGTTCCTCAGGATCCGTGAACACGCTATCACTCGATGACTCTTGGCTGGGTGGAGTCGGCATATCAGTAACGACCAGGCTCTTGTTGGCCAAACGCCACGAATCGGTCACCAGCAAAGGTGGCAGTTGTTGGGTCTGCGATGTTGTCGGGGTCTGCGCTGGTGTCGTCGTCGGGGTCGTGATGCTTGGACGGTAAGTCTCCGTCATAGTTGCACCAGATTTCGCCGCGGCTACCGCAGTATCATTGCGATACTCAAACTCCACATCCTTCTGTGTGTCCTAATTACAAAGCGACTTTAATTCCGCGCGATTGCGAGCCCGAGGCTCGTTAAAACGCGCAAAGAACATTTTTGTACTTATTTTGGCGCTTCTTTTTTGCGCGACAATTACCCTACATACGATTAACAATGCATTGAACATTTTGGATTAGCTCGTGAGATAAAAGAATACGAGAAGGCACTGCGCACCTGGGATAACACAATCTTTGGTGGCTGCGGCGCCTGCCTCTTGGCATGCCCGGGCGGCTGCACCTTCTCGAAGCTGATCTTGATTGTGTCGCGAGATACGTCGCGCCCATCCGCCACTCTAGGCGCTTGGTCCTTTTTGTTATCCTTCCCATGGTCCTCGACTGTCGCATCGAGCTCTGCCATGGATGTTGATGCCGGTGAAACCGCGGCTTCCTTCTTCTTCTGCTTCTTCTTGCCGTCGCTCTGCAGATTACCCATCGCGTCTGATGATAGTTGCGGTGGACCCAGGTTGTTCAAGTTGCTCCAGGAGTAGAGCAGTCGGATGTTGTTGACCCAGAGGTGGAGGAAGTCTGACAGCTTTGATCGAGGCGACCGCGCCTGGGCCGCGGCTGCGCCTTGACCGTGGCGGGCGTGCATTCGTGGTCGATAGTCGAGCAGAGCTGCGGTACTTGCAATTTCGGCGCCGACGTCCGAACGCCGGTCGGCCGCCGCTGCGAAAGCAAAGCACGTGGACGAGGTTTTGCGGCGATGGTTAGGTGTGATCATGCAACACTCGAGCCGCGCATTAGGATCGCGTACTCGCGCCGAATAGGGGTTCGCAGCAGGTTTACAATCGTACAGATGTAACTCCTGCTTCGTATTGCATAAGTATTCATAGAAAACGTCAGGCAAAGTCATCGAACTTGACAACGGCAGTAGCGGTGCCCGCGCGGAACTTTCGTATTTTAAAAATAAAAGTCGGAAGGCAGCAGGGATACGGCTTAAACGTCAGGTATATTTAATTAGTATCTCTCTGCAAACAATGTAGAAGTCACAATGGGAGGAAACCCTCTTGTGGAAGGTTAACTGAAAATTACGAAAATTGACGAGATATCAACCCGAATGTCGATATTAAATATGGTATAATTTTCGGCGTGACATTGACATCGCACGCAATGTTCATTCTGATCCTGAATGAAATCCTGAAGTAAACTGTCGCATTCGATGCTGAATTATGTATGTATGATTTTAGGTTGATATTGAAAATGCGCCGATGAACGCAGAGGAGCATGAAAAATATTGAATGGAAGTGTCAGCTGGGTCTAATTAACCTTATGTTACCTCGATAATATGAACGCTTCTCGGATATCATCGGATATAATGGGATATTATCAATATTAATAACGATCTTATGTACGGTAAACTGAGCAATGCCGCACATGCCGTTGTCTGAACACGACTGAATGTGCCTATATATACAAAACATCGATTTGTTATTACTAGGGCGCGTATATACCTCGATGTTATTGGCAACTATTCTTATCTGGAACTCTGGGGCTTGATCGCGTAATTTTTTCACGCTAGAAAAAAAACGAGAGTGAATATTTTCCTGTGGAACTGCAGCGTAACTGCAGCCTATCGCGATAACGCAACTTTCCACAATCTATCTTTTCGAAAAACGACAAAAATCGTTCCCGTGGACTCGGGATGAGATCTGAAAAATCGACTCGCAATTACACGATTCACCTCTTAATTACAGCGAGTGTGTAAAATATTTGGCAGTCGTGTAAAATATCACAGCATTTTGCACACGGGCAAAATAAGGCCGGGCTTACGTAGGTGTGTAAAAGCATAACACACAGCGAGATTCTAACTACAAGCCACGATCAAGTCGTAGCCTTGGTTTCTTTCCATGTGGAAAATACATGAGCTCGTGAGTCTAAGAAATGGACATTTTTAATAAAAGTATCGACACCTGGAAAGAAATGCGTGACGGAACCAAAGGTTTGCAATTAGATGAATGTACGTTTAAATAGCACTCGCGTTGAAATCAACGTAGGACGGATATGTATTCTTTTCGATATGGGACACCAACATGTAGCACTCATCGTGGTTAACAAGCGTGATGCCGTAGCATGTCTGTTGCATTTCACTCTCGCTTTCCCATCACTGTTACTTTTGCACTTTTCTTCGCTTGGAAGTCGCGTCTCTCATTCGTTGATTCAATTAGTCCCGTGTGTCGTTAATGGTACTGAACATTTGTACAATTTTCTCAGAAAACACACGCCGCGACGTCTTTGACCCACTAAACGTCGCAATCGCGACTCTCGAGTAGCTATCCATCGCGCCACGTGACGTCGTTCATATAACCGGAATGCGGTACCGTCAGTGCCTATTCGTGACTGTTGTCTCCTCTTATTATGTTTCGGGAAATCGAAGGATACCTCAAAGGCAAGAAATGCCACACTCTTCGGCATGACGCACCAAAGATAGTTCGCGCAGCTAAGAATCGCGAAACACCCTTCGCTAAATACTATCGCGATCTCTCAGAATATTTTTATCATATCTCTCAGAATATTTGTATCATTAATCATATTACGACACTTGTCACGATTCTTAACGTCAAAGCCGTGCATTTTGCTCGACACTCGTCAAAATGAAATGCGAGATCTCGCTAACGTTTCAAAACTTGAACCCAGACAGAACATTGAGACAACTCACAAGGATCAGTACCCCATTAGGACGATACATCACGCAGTTATACTTGGTGGTTGAATCTTATCCACCGCCATTATATCATAACGACCGCTGCTCGCGATTCGGTCGAGAGTGCGAAAAGACGCGTGATGCGTTACGACATAACATCAGCCCCGTAACGTCATTACCGTCACAACGAATTAGAATCACCGTCGCGGATTCGCGAGCATTAAGAGCGTGCTTGTGCACACGCGTCGGAGCACGGTACCTCGTAACGTTGGACGCACAGCGCGTAATTTGCCGCGACACAAAGGAGCATTGCACGCACACACACGCACACACATATAAACACATACATACCACACGCGTACACGCCGCGAACGAGCGTACAGCGCGTTCCTTCCTCTCTTACCTGATTCTTCCTCGCGTCTCGACACCACCGTCGGGCATATTACACGTTGCACCGTGCGGTACGAGCGTGCCACTGAAAACTCGCATTTCACCGATTATTGATTGTCCCCGGCGGCGATGCAGTCCCCCGCGCATTTTTCACCGGCCGCTCGCGCCGCGCCGCTCCGCGCCGACCACGACTGTGAAATATCGTCCCGCGGTTTCCCAGGAAAACACGGCTGCCGTACACGGCAAAAAGTCCACACGAGCGTTTTATTGAACACACGCGGTGGGAGGTAGCCCCGAGACGCGCGTGAGAGACGACGCGGTGATATCGACGGCGCACGCTCGCGCCACCGTCGAGTCCTCGAGATCGATGTCTCGACGTCGCGCTCGAGGGCAGAATTGATATCGCCGTCGTTTCTCGATTGTTTATCTTGCTCGCGCGATACGACTCGCAGGCGGTTAGTACCTCGGATCCTGATAAATTTCAATTGTTCGTGGCTGAATTTCATTCCCCGCACAAAAATGCCGATACGTTTGCCGACGGTTGAACGATATGTATCGTAGTAAGGCCCCCAATGCCCAGACACGTATCTAATATTGCACATTCTTATTGCTTTGGTCTTTAAATACGAATACACTTAAACGTAGAATACATGCGTGTATCCAACATGTGCATACGTATTCCTATATTAGATGCAGTATAGAAATCCAAATATTCGTATTTGGCAATAAAATAATAAGAATGTCCAGGTAATAAAATAAACTATTCACTTTATGGCTTTAATCAAATTCTTAACTTCATGATGCATTTCTCGAGGATAATTTTTTAATTCGACGTCACTTCTCTCTTTCTCTCTCTCTCTCTCTCTCTCTCTCTCTCTCGCTCTTGACGAAAAGAATCAGAAATGCAAAATCGTCGCTTCATCGTTTATTTTATATTGCAACATAAAATTTGTACAAATAATAATTCATTATAATATTATAACTATAATGGGTAATAGTTAATACGTACACACACATGTACATACATACGCGAGTATTCGTATACGACTGCACACATATATATACATGTACGTATGAATTTCGTGGTGCACGCGAGCACGCACGTGCGCGCGACGCGGATAATGTACATACGCGCTAATTAATATTGCGAGCAGCCGCGCACAGGCGCACGGCATGCGCTGCATACTAGATTATCGCGAAAGTTCGGCGATTTTTGCGAAAATAATCGCGTACAAAAAAAACCGGCGAGACCCTCGTGAGGATCTAATATCGTCGTCTAACCGGCGTTCCGGCGTTCCGTAGGCATTCATTTTTTTTCGCTCTCTCCAGTTATCTCCCACTTGTTCGGACACATGTATATTAATATTTATTTATTTATATATATATATATATATATTTATATATATATATTTATATTTATTTATATTCATAGAGTGTGTGGACGACTCTAGAGTGATAAGTCGTTCGCCTCGCGTTTATCAAGGAGGAGCTGCGCTATATTTAATGGTTCAGAGAAACGCATATTCCCGTCTTGTATTTACAATCTACTTCGACGAGCGACGTTATCCGTGGGGAAACTCTACAAGTTAGCTGCTCGTCTTTGTTGTTACAGTTACGCATCCTTACGCCTTATAACATAACATATTTTCATTTCTTTTCTCTTTTTTTGTGTTTTTTGACACGCACGCACACACTCATTCAATTATGCCCATTCGTTATTGCACAACTCTCTTCGCATACGCTCTTTCCGATTCCGATATCAGGAGCACATTGTACGATCACTCTAATTGCGATCTATTCTAACGAGTTCGCGCGGTAATCGGCTATGACAAAAGGCGAAATACATACGAGACATCCAACGTCGCGACTGCAACAAAGGATTTAGGAAAAATACACATATTTTTTATTGTAGTTTTATCTATCAGGTAAAAGTATAATAAAAAGTCAATATATATATATGTACATTATACTGTTATTCAATTATATATATATATATATATATATATATATATATATATATATATATAATATATTTATATATATTATTATAATATATATAATATATATAATATATTTATATATATTATTTATAATATTATTCGATATATATATATATATATATATATATATATATATATACATTATACTGTTATTCGATTTCTGTCACCGATTACCATGCAAGCCCGTAATGTAATGGCTCGTAATTATTATGAGCATTTCATGCTCTTTTAACTTCAGTGGAAGAAAAAACGTATGCAAAGTGATGCAATTGTTACTCTCTCACTTTCGCACCATCTCTGTCTCGCCTCGCTATGCATATATACACAAGTTTCAGCAAGTAAACCTCGCTCTTTTCGCGCGTAAGGTAGCGAAAATCGATCGAGCACGGTCTTGTTGGCGTTCCTGAAATTTATTAATCCTACACACGCGCATTTAACGTACATGTATCCGCTATACTTCGTTGTCCAAAAATATGTCTACTACTTTTTTCTTCCTTCTGTTTTTTCGGCCGCCCGTTTGCTTTTTGCCACATTTCGCAGCCAACCCCTCTCTTTCTCTCTCTCTCTCTTTCTTTCTCCTCACTGCACATCATGGCTAGAATTCACGCGGCCTCTAAACGCAACACACGCGTCACGTCTAGCGTCAGTCACGCGTCAGTCACGCTCAACTTTCGCTCTATGAAAGACATGGAAGTAGGAGATTTTCGTCGGTTTTTCGCACAACGGTGAATTGGTGAATCGTCCCGCGCCGAAAAGCGCATAACACGTCACCGATTGAAAATGGAATACAACAAGAGGCAGCGAAAGGGACACCTTTACATGCGAGTCTAGCGATAAAGGAAAGAATAAAACTCAATCGAATCGAAAGAATCAGGGCGAGAATGAGGACAGAAGGGTGATCGTAAAAGAATCGACGAGCTTTGACGGGATTCTGATTAACTCGAACAAAATTCTGGTAACTTCAAGCCGGAAATTTCTGGCTTATTTATATGTCACCAGAAATTTGGTTGACCCAACCCAACATTTTTTCTTCCCGTGCGATAAAATATTTTTGTTTCTTCAATACAAGATACTTCAGAATTCGCGTCGGTAATTACAATCGTATAATGAATGGACGAGAAAGAACACTGAAAGTCCATGGGAGACCCAGGATTAATAGCTTGACCCGCGTCACACTCGCCAAGTACAGCCGTATCTCAAGTAGCGAAGTAATCAGCGAAGAAGAAGATTATACGTCCAACAAGACTCGTTACGATCGCGTTGTACGTGCGGCACGACATCGTTCGGTGGATATACTTAAAAGTATTTGTGTTCCTAATTGCGCCTACACGTCGTGATACACGAGACTAATGGCCACACGGAGAGCCGCAATCGCGGCGTACGTGCGATCCGCACACGCGGAGCGCCGTAATCGCAAAGTCGGTCAAGATGCGATCGCCGAGCGCTGATGTCTCTCCGAGATTACATTACGAGCAAATGAGATCACAAACGACGTGCGAACGAACGCGCGGGCGCCGGGCGTCGCGTTTGCCACCGCGGACGCGAAAATACTGACGCGGAACGGCAATTTTCCGACCGAGATAAAATGATTTTCCGGCTCGTCGTGCGACGAAACTGCTCTAAACCCTAGAACCCTAAACACGAGCAAAATTTATCTAGACCGACTCTTCAAACGTCACTACAGCGTTCATACAAACATGCGTGTTTTGCTCTTTCATTGTAACTTTTCTCAACACTTCACTGAATCGCAAAGATATTAATAGATTTACATTTCTCGACGTTTTCTACATAGATTAAAAAGGCAAAAAAATATTGAATTTTGATCACTCTTACGAAAGATTGCAAGTGAATGCACTAGGCTAAGACTTACCCATGTTTAGGGTTTGCGTAACTCTTTTGATGCTTCGGGCTCTAGGGTTAATATGACGGCAAATATAATCGTCGCAGTACTGCTTGACGTGAGATAATAACGGTAATAATAATAGTACAGTAATACGTATAAGTAATAAGTATAGTAAACGCGGTGGTTTTCTATTCATTTATTAGCTCCAACTGTCTTTTTTGCACTTTGTTATATTTTCGCGTCCGTCGCGAGCAGAATAACACTTCGCCGACGTTCGGTCGACGGGACAGAAATTAAAAAAAGAAACAGAAAAATAAAAATAAAGGGAGCGTGGGAAGGGTAAATGGGAGTAAAATTCAACAAAAAGGTGCGACGTACAATATAATCTCTACACGTCGCGTATATAACTACAAAACTGAGTGACGTGCAAAACTCGCGCGCCGACGTCAAAAAAAAGGTTTCTATACATTTAAAACGCTATCCCTAATCGTTAGTGCGAAGTATCGCGGGCTATAAAACGGCGAAGTTCGTTGTTGCTGACGTTTTCCTTTTGATTCGGCGAAGCATCGGTAGGCTCTCCGAAGTCGTGAACGGGAGGAAAGTCGAACGATCGTCGTGCGGAAAATTCAACGGCTGTGAGCCGCCGTTGTGTTCTCCGAGCGCGCTCCGTTCACATCCCACCCCCGCTTACATCCCTCGTGACTGCGGAACGGCGAATACGGATACTCAAAAGAAAGTGGAAAGGAAAATAAGAAACGTTGTTATCGCGTCCTAACATCACGCGGCCTTTCTTACGTCATTAAGTACTTTAGTAGAGTACTCTACCCCTCGATTATTTACAAATACACAATGAACGCGCTCGATCCGTCGCTTTCCGGAGCAAACGAAAGAACCCAAGTGGCCTCTCGGAAAACATCTACGAGGAGAATCCTAAACGTCCCGCGGAAGGTCCCTCGGTCATCTTCGCGATGAGTTCCGTCGCAAGGCAGAAACAACGAGACCGCCGTTTCGGCCGTGGACGGCACTCGCGACGGCTTCAGCGTCAATCGTGTTCGCCCTGCGCGATAGAATACATCTCTTATTTATAAATGCTGCGTACGTCTAATACACATACTTACAAAACCGACGGCGTTAATTACCCTCGGTGGATATGTGTGTGCACTCGTTTGCAGAACGGTTTGCGCACGCCTTCTCCGGGAAGGTTCGGGTCGCATCGAATGGTCACGATTGCAGTCCACTACTAACGAGCCTGTGTGCTAATAATCAACTATGACAGCAGCTTAAGTGATAGTATAACGGAGGATTCAGCAAAAGTGCGAACTTCTATTATACTTTTGTTTTTATCAAGTAAAAGTATAATAAAAGGGGACACACACACATACACACACACACACACACACACACACACTTTCTCTATTTACACTATGCACCGTCATTCGGCTTCTGTCGAGTGCAGCTAAAGCTATGATGCACAATTATATGCCTGCTGACCAGCATCTTTTAAGCAGTTCAGTTAAGTGCATGAATTGCTATCGTGCATTGGGAGATTGTGGAATCGTACGATGCACGATTTCATGCCTTTTTACATGCATGGTGATCAGCAGTTTAATTCACTGCATGAATCATTATTGTGTACTGGAAGATCTATGCAGTGGACTAAACTGCCGGTCAGCATGCGTATACTGCAGTAAGTTGCTTAAAAGTGACAATACTTTTTCTCAATGAGTTTTTCCCATGGCCAATAGGAGAATATGTCTTTTCTAATTCTCAGGAGATACGTTTTCCTATTGAACACTGAATACATTGCAAAAGTCATTGGAGGAAGTGTCGCTACATTTAATCGGCTGACTGTAAGAAGGCATGAAGTCGTATGATTTTAGCTTTAGACCGATCAGCACGTGAAGCCGTGAACGATGGCTCGCAACCGTGAGCGCTCGATGAGCTCCCAACTTGGGAATGGGAGAAAAAGAAACGTGTGCAAACCGTTATGCGAATGCGTGTACACAATATCTCGCGCGGTAATAGATCGAGCAGTTCCACGCGGGAAAGCGCAGGTCGCTTGCTTGTCATACGAAGAGGCGGCGTCGTCGCCCACAATGTCCTGTATATAAAAGTATAAAATGCATCAGATCTGGAGTCGTAATATCTGGAGTCGTCGCCGCTGAACGCGATCGGACGACTCTTACCGCGCGCCATTGACTCGCGAGACTTCACTCACTTTCCTGAAACAGCCTTCCCACCTATTTGAAACGTACAGCATCCTTTCTAGCGTGAGCCGCCGGAAATTGAAGTGTCCCCGGTGCACTAACACTGTACTTCATACAGTGACAACGCTCGCAGATACGGGCCTCGCGAGAGAAGTGTATCGAGTTCGCGTCTCTCCGCGAACGCGCTCGATAGCACAGAATGCGATTATGCGTGAAACACAAGTAAATGCGATTAAATTAGCCGCGTCATACCAAACGGTGAGATTCAACGGCTTGCCACTTCATACGCAAATGCGTGGAAATTTCGTCGCGCGCCACGTCAAGGCTGAGTAATTATGTAGAACAGTCGTTAACGCGTCAAATCCGACGTGGCAGTTGATCGTCTCGAAAAATCGAGACGCTATTAAATATCAATACGATTGCCGGATTCAATGCGATAATAATAATAATAATATTTAATCAGTCTTGAGCGGCTTAAAATTAGACCAAATAATACAAAAGATTCATTTTCAAAATTTATTAGCGCGGATAAGATCCGATCTTCGCGAGGATTCTTTCTTAAATCAATTCTTTCTTAACCAATCGATAAAGACCGAATTAAACATCGATTTATGCGCGATTGCTGAAAATGCGGCAAAGTAGAAAAAGCCACTTAATATTTTGACCCGCGTAGTTAAGTATCAGCGAGACGGGGTAAGTTAAACCGAGAGGCAAGAGCGATATCCATCGTTCTCGACGGTTGGTAAGCCCTCGGGAGAGACCGTATCATCGATGGATATGCGTTTATTCACCGGCACGCGCGCGGCACACACACTCATACATAATACACGCAGGCGCGCACGCATATACACACACACCCACACGCATACACTTTGATATCACTGCCTGGAATCATTGCACTCGGGTGGTACGGTCACTTTCACAACTGTTCCGACAGAATGATCACTCTGAGCGTCTGGACATTGTCGTTGTCGAGAAGTTTGTTGGACCCTTTGAACGATACTTCGTCCTCCTCGAGACCCTCGACTGCCGTGTGCTCGCATCCTTCCGCCTCGGCCCGCTCTTCCCCCGGCAGAGCGTCGTCGTCTTCTTGTTCCGTGCTTCCTTTCGCGAGCAGCGAGTCGCGAGACGCCTTAATTGGATCGGCCGGCACATCGACCGTCGTCGAGTCGAACGATGCCGGATGCTCGAGGTTCTCCTTCGAGCATCTCAGCTGCGGTTGCCCTCGCATAATCGGGCTCCCCGTCGTCAACGACGACGTTAACGTGCCGTGCAGATTCACAGGGGTGGAATTAGTGTAGTTCGCGGTGAATTCCGGGGACCTCTGGTGCCGTAGCCGCACGGCGAATGAGTCCGCGTCCGCGCAGCGGCTTGTTAACAAGGACGATCCCCTCGAGGAGTCGTTCCGAGGACGGTGCAGAGAAGGCCCGGGCGAGAAGGATGATAAATGCGGTAGCCTCTCCGTGGCTTTCGTGGAGACGTCGTGGAACCGCGGACTGCCGATTGGCAGCTGGACGTCCGCGGAATAGCCCCTCGCGCCGACTGTGTCCGCACAAGCCTGTACTTCTAAGGACGACGACGACTGTTCCAGCGGACGACACGCTCCGTCGAACACGCGAGGATTCACGTCAGCGTCCACTTTGAAGGTTTCACCGCGCGACGTGGCCTCGTCTGTCCCTCCGTCGTCAAAGGTACTCGTCGCGGTCACCGCGTTGTGCTCGTTCGAAACACCATCGTTGTTGTTGCAATCCTCCTCTAGCTGGTCGACGGCCTCTGGAACCGCCTCGAGAAGCCCTGAACGATCGAGTCGTAAGGACGCGGTGGTGCGCGCGACCACGTCCTCCGCGCCCGTGAATACGCGGCCACGTGAACACGTCGTGTCCGTCTCGGCGATCTCCAGCAGTCCGGACTTGCCGACTCGCCGGACCGTCATCGGGGCCGCCGATGCGCCGTCCAGGTCGCGATCGTACGACGCCAGCTTGTGGCGACTCCTCGCGTAATAATCGTTCGTGGGCAACAACGTGTCGACGTCGTAAAGCGCGTTGCAACGTGGGAAATGGTGTGACGACGACGACGACGATGACGACGGCAGTGACGATGGCAGCGGCGGCGGCGGCGGCGGCGGCGGTGGCGGTGGAGGTGGATGCATCGGAATACCCAGCTGTGAAGTCGCGACCGAGGATGGCGTGGGCGCAACGGAGAGGTTCTCAAGGACGATCTCCATACGATGGTGATGTCGATGGCGATGATAGTGGTGTTGATGGCGTTGCGGTGTCATCGTATGACAAACGGGGGCTTGCTGCTATAGCCACGTGGTGCGCGTGTTTCCGGCTCGTGAGCCGGTAGGTAGATCTCAAACGATTATCTCCCTGATGATCCTACGACCACGGCTGTTGGGCGTAGAGTAGCCCGATTCCAAGCTCTCGTCGTACGACAGGCTGACCTGTTGCGGCGGCTTAGTGTCCTCGTCGTAATTTTCCTGATACGGTAATCCGGACACGTCGTAAGGCGAGTCTGTCGAACACACAACGGGCAAGATAATTAGTATGATAATGCGGGGGGATAAAGCGAGAACGCGTGGCGGCGCGAGAATGATTATTTCGCCGCGAACGACCGATAAGTCGCAGAAAAAGCTTGCAGTAGAATAACAAAGTCAGCGAGTGAACAAAGTAGAGAGTAAACATTAATCAAAGAGAGTGGTGTCGTACGAAAGGCGAGGCGTAACGGCGAAAATGTCGAGGCGCGAGGAGCAGATCCGAGAGGGACTGCCGCAAGTTGGTCGGCAAGGAACAATAGCAAGGTGGCAGGGGGATGTTCCGGGTAAGCGAGTCTCTCCGAGGGTAGAGAAGGTATCGGCGGGAACGGCGCGCGCGGTAGCAGCCGCGCGGAAGATCGATGTTACGTACGATATAATCTATAACATTGCAGCAGCCTGGCACGCACGGCGGTAATATAGGGACTGTCATTAGAAGGCCAGGCTGCTCTGGACGGAGGAGTCACGTGAAACGATCGTAAGGCTAATACACTAACCAACGTGTTTCTGAGACTTGACGACGGTGGCGAACGGCTCCGTGCAGAACTGCTGTCGGCTCAGATTATGGCTCTCCCTGTAATCCTCCCGCTGCGGCAGATAATGAGGGTGCGTGGGGTAATCGGACTCCGCAGTGCCGTAGCCAGCGAGATCGTAAGGCTGGTTGACGCCGTTCGCCGCCGCTGACTTCATCTGCCATATAGAGTCCTGCGAGTTCACGGAACCGCCGTTGTTGGAGTTCGAGTAACTGTTATCCATGTAGCCCATGTTTACGCCTGCAGGCAAAAGGTCTATTGTGATTTCCCGTCATATGTTGATTTTCACATGTAACTGTGTGATTTGCGCACGAATTCGCGACGCGCTTACCGTTGATGTTGTGATTCGGCTGGTGATAACCGTATCCCGGCTGCGAGTATGCGGGAGTCTTGGAGTCCTCCATCGCCAAGGCATGATCCAGACTATGCTCTAAAGCCTTGTTCTCGGCGTAATACGGCGGTGGTGGTTGCGTTTGTTGGCCGTTGCCCGTCACTAGACTTGGTCGGACGCTGCACAAAGTAAACGAGGCACTTGAACGGTGCCCGTCTGTGTTCGAGCGATACGAAGCAAGGCGCGTCGCGCAATTGAAGCGCATAATAATGCTCACTCGACGGCGAGCTCGATAGCTTCTCGCAAGCCGGATACTCACGTGTTCGAATCCATCTCGTAATCCTTCGCTTTCGTCGCGTGTTTCCGCCGGCAACGGCAAAACAGCAGCAGCAACGCCGCGAACAGCAGGAACACTGCTCCGCTTACTATCAGCGCGATCAAAGTTGGCATCGTGAGAGTGCCGGATTGCGCGATATACGATGGCCCAACTGTGAAGAGAAACACGGAGACTTGAAGGTTTTCGAATTCGCAAAACATGCCGGTGATAAAGTCGCGCGCGTTACAATATCTCAGTTCTAAATTAACATCGGAAATCTTTTGTTATTTCAAAAGACGATGTTAGATATTAATGAAACCGCGGTCGGAAAAATCAATCCTCTAACACGATAAAGACGTCCATTAAATTAACCTCGTTGCTTTCAAAACTTATCAATTGTTAGCGGATTTTGCATTATTTGAAAGTCACAGAAAGAACAAACATTCACGAGCCAAAACGAGACCATCGGATTAATTTATTCGCTCTCTAAATTCGCACCCTCCTCATTGCTTATCATGTGCTAAGTTATGTTAGAACATTTCGCGAATTATTCACAAGTTGCCTGCGATCCTACTTCCAGTTGGGAATGTTATTTCGCGGCAACAAACACGACCTGCCGCGCCGAACTTACTTTCGGCATCCGCGTACTCGCCGCACTTCTGCCGGTCGGCTTTGAGACACAGCCGAACTCTGAGTCGGGGCTCTGTGTCGGGCGCTTCGGGATCGTCCAATATTCCTTCCCTCTGAGTGGGCGCGCTCCCGAGGACCTCGAGAGGCCACTCGTCGACAATTCGCCACGCGCTGTCCGTGCCACCGTCGAATTTCTCGATGGACGCCACCAGAGCCAAGCACGTGGCGCCCACGTTGATGGCAAGGGTGCTGCTCTCGGGATCGTAGCTCACCCTCAACGGCGTAGGTATCTTCGCGACCGCAGTGGTGGCAGTCACCTCCTCGGAGTAGTCGGAGTGGTTCTTCGTGTTGTAGACCTTCACCTTAAAAGTGTAGGTCTGGTGTTGCTCGAGATTAGTCACGTTGCACGGGTTCGATCGGCGACAATCGAGCTCCATCCACTGGCCGGCCGGTCCCCGCGGTGGCGCGCAGTCTGGTGCGACAATCTCGTCGCCGCCCGCGACCCTTCTGTACGAGACAAAGTATTTGGTGATGGGTAGGCCGCCGTCGAAGCCCAATTCCCACAGTAAAGCGACATGCGTAGGCCCGATGTCCATGGCAGTGATGTTGGTTGGTCTCTCTGGCGCGCCCTTTGGCTGCAGTCTGATGTGAGACGTGACGCTACCCTGAGCGTTCACCACACGGCAATTGTAGTCACCGTAATCAGACTCACGGATATGATTTATTCTAAGCAGGGACATGTACATGTCGTAGTTGTCGTTCGTGGAAGAGATTTCGTAGTGGCCGTCGCTGGAGGAGCCCTGTAGTGTCGCTGCGTTGGTACCGTAGCTCCACTGGAACTCTGGCTTCGGCCACGCCTGAACCTTGCAGGTCACCTCGGCGGTCTCTCCGACGCTGGAGGCCACCTTGCCGTATTGGTGGAGTATTATCGGCTCGTGCTCCACCTTGAGCATCATCGTGGACTCGACTTTCTTCACCTCGTTCACAAAGACGCAGGTGTACTTGCCGCGATCGCTCGCCACGATCTCGTCGGTCTGCGGACGAGCGTGACCCAAAAAGCTCAGCGTGGAATTTACGGTTATTACGCTACCGTGGCCCTCCGACGCCATCGTAATTACTTTATAGAGCCTCTCGTCGGCCGTTAATTCTTGATCGTCCTTCAGCCAGCGCACGCTAGGCCGTGGTTTGCCCTGCGCTACGCAGGATATTTGGAACGACGATTCGCCGACTCTGCGATAAAGCGAGAAGACGTTACATTATTAGGAGCTTTCCTGCGGAGGATAAATCTTACTCCAATGGCGAAGCCACTTTATCCAACATTAAAAGCCGCGTGATTTCGGCAAGAATAATAATTGATGAGTAATTACCGTCAACACGACGTAATTGAATAAGACTAATGATAATATTATAACAGAAGTGATAATCACAAATTTTGCGGAAAATGACAATGTCGACGAGTGTTTCTTTTAAAGCTGCTGCTCTCTCGGCGGGACCTCGGACTGATGACGTCAGAAGCGAGAAAACGCATGGCAAAAATTCTTTTTCCCTTTTTCGAGTAAAATGATATGAAAGAACTACTTGAGAACACTCGAGCACTTGTGAAATGCTCCGAAAACTATCCTTTTCCCTTGACACGCGACCTTTCTCTTTAACCTATCTTTTCTCGTGATTTTGCCACGTTCATTTTACAGCTATTTGTTGACTGTCGAGGGAAAAGGATAGTTTTGAGAGCGTTTTACTTGAACGATCTAAAATGTCCTCTCATACAAATGTCTCTTTATTTGGAAATGGCAGGGAAGAATGATCATTTCTCGCTTCCTGCGTCGCGATGCAACATGGTCGCGGCCAGGAGCTTGAAGTGGAAATTCTAGCACAACGACCGAAATCGGTCTCCTAAACGCTCGCGAGTAAAGCGATGCCTCTACTTACTTCCTCGTGATATGGGGCTGCAACTTGGTGAGTATCTTTGGCGGTTGGTGAACGGTGAGGTTGACCGAGGCAGCATCGCCTATGCCGATCTCGTTGAGCGCGTAGCACTTGTAAGTGCCTTCACTGCCGAGATGCACCGAGTCGATCTCGTACCTCGAGCCGGTCGGTATCATGACTGAGCCGCTCTCGCCTTCCTTCCACCACTTGTACTGTGGCTCAGGGTAGCCGGCCGGGTTGGCCATGCACGTGAGAGTGACCCGCGAGCCCTCGACGGCGACTGGCGAATCCGGCGTCACCCTGGCTGGGCCGGGTTTGTGTCGCACTCGCACGGTCACGGTGGCCGAGGCCGTGTAATTTCGACGCTCGCCGCCGGTGGGGTAGATCGTGTTGACGGCGCGGCACGTGTAGTTGCCGGTGTGATCCGCCGTGACCCGGATCAAGCGGAGGATCAGGCCCGATTGACGGAACTCGGGTCGACCGTCGCGTAGCCACTCGATCACCGACGGCTTTGGATTGGCGGACACGTTGCAGTGAACAGTCACGCTGTCCTCCACGTCGGTCACTCTCACGGGGTCACCTTCGATCGACACCGTGGGCGGGTAAAGCACATCCAGGAGCAAGGACGACTCGCCGCGCTTTTGCAGGCCGTTGTCCGCCAGGCATGTGTATGTGCCGGCGTCTTGTAGCGTGACCTTGGATATCACGTGCTGAAAGTTGGTGTCGATGAAAGTGCCGTCCCGTGTCCAACGCACGTTAGTCACCTTCGGCTTCGAGTCCACGTGGCAAATGATGTTCGCGGTGCCGTTCACCTCGACCTTCATCGGATTCTCCGGGCCGACGGTGACGCGAGGGAAGTAATCGACGTCGAGCGTCACCGACGCGACCAGAGTCTCGCCCTCGCTCATCGCCCGGTTTCTCACCACGCAACGGAAGGCCGCCCTGTCGTCCTCCTGCGTCGGATTCATCAGCAGCGTCTTGCCGACGTGCAGCACCGTGCCGTTGTTGCCGCGGAACCACCTGATCTCCGGTTCAGGGCTGCCGCCTAATGTGATGCACGTCAGATTGAGCAGCGTGCCTTCCATTACGCGTGAGCTAGAGAGCGTTATGTTCGGCGGGCCCGGCGTCCGCAGCACCGTCAGCACGACGAACTTCCGATGCCAATCTTCGCCGGAATTGGTCATCTTGATTCGACACTCGTACTTGCCGTTGTCACGCTCGTACGATATATTCTTGATCTGTAGATCGAAACGGCCCTGCGACAGATTTATGAACACCTTGTAGTTAGGCGATAACGCGCGGTCGTCGATTGCCGCGTTGTCGACGTTATCCTTCGTGCGGACGAGCCAATAACTCGTGACGTTCTGCCGCGGCGGCGGAAACCGGCATTGCAATTGCAGCTTCGAGCCTTCGTGCATATCTATGTACTGGGTCTCCTCGGACGGTTCGTCTGTAGCTCTCACTGGGGCTGTAACAGAAAGCACAAGCTCGGTAAAGGCACTGCGTTCATGATCGCGCGACTATTAGTGGGGAACGACTAGAAACGCGCATCGACTAAAACGAGCAACGACGTTCGCAGGGGAACGCTACCTTGAGCCACTTCGCTAAATAGTATATCTTTAATGCTTTAACATCTAGCTTATGTTTTCACATATCTTATTATTTCCCTCCGGTCACTGCGTCCAGTGACCATAGTCGGTGACATCGCGCGATCGAACGGCGTCACGGTGACCCGATAACCCGGTGACCCTACGGAGAAATCGACCGCGAGAGGAACGCTCGATAGCTAAGAATCGATCGGCCCCTCTCTTTTCACCCCCTCTCTCTCTTTCTCTCTCTTTCCGTTTCTTGCCCTCTCTTTTTCGTCCGGCACTTATACTTTTGCTGGCGTACACGCGTTTTCCATTAAGCCGGGAATAAATTCACGGCGCACAGTGCGTCGACGAGGTGAACTGCGTGGGCGAGGGCGATAATGCGATACAAATTACCTGTCGGGAGTCAACCTAGTTTTAGGTTCACCGACTCCGGCGGCTCCCCTGCCTGCCTTCTGCACAATTAACGCCCAAGCTGCCGTACCGTCTCGCGGCGTTGACAATGCCGATTGTCGACGAGCGCGCGAGAACGCGCGTTCCTAGCATGATTAACGCAAGTGGGGAATAATACGCCGGCATTTAGCGACGCGAAAGGCGTCGGACGTTCGCGCCCCGTGTCACATTTACGAAATAATGAACACGCGAAAACGTTGTTCCTCGCTGGTGCTTGCGCACAGACTCGTCGTCGCGTGAATTCCTGTCTTTACGCGGAAGCAGCGTAGTACCGTTAGAAACAGGAGTATCCAGGGCGACGCCGCGGAGAATGGTTTACCCTTGCCTTCATCCTCATCCTCATCGTCATCGTCGTCGTCGTCGTCGTCGTCGTCGTCGTCAGCGTAGTCGTCACCGTAAACTGTCCAATTAAAGCTCCACAAACGACACTGATTTCAGCTATGAACAATTAATTTCCAAGAAAAAGCCGGCGAGCAACTCGACAAAGTTATACGATTCCGGCGAATAAATCGCATTAAAACTGGCATTCATTACAATGGTGCGATCATCTTTAATGTTATACAGACACGGCGCAATATAATTTTGCCCTAGAGCTTCAGTAACGAACTAACTAAACGCATGAGCAGGTATTTTCATTTTTTTTTATTTCAATACATTGAAATTAAAAAAGCACATTCCTCGTAAAAGCATCCGGTATGAACAGCTCTGTTACGAAGGGAATACCAATACGCATATCGATATATCCGCACGTCTCATGAACGCAATTTACAATAAAAGATCATAAATGCCGTATTTCGAAAGGAATAACCGAGAAGAGAGCGATTCTCTCTTGGCAAATGTGTATTTAAAGGTGCGGACGTTCGTTGTTCTACATTTGCCGCTTTTTATCTTAAAGTGATACGTGCTTCGCGAGCGCTCGCGGATTAAAATTCGATCGTAACGTCGTTAAAGGAGACCTAAAGCAACAAAAGCACTCCACGTTCTGACGATATTTTTACATTTTCGCGAACGCTACAAAACAACATGTCATTCCTGTCCACCTCGTATTACGTAGCGTTCGTTTAGTGGATATAAATTACGTGAATTTCGTATAATTTTTCATGTAAATCAAGAGATACACAGAGGAAAATTCAGTTTTAATTAAAAACTGTAATTTCGCGATCGAGGGTAGAATACTGACGCGAGATAAAAAAGAAAAAAGTATTACGTCAAAAATAATTCGCCGCGATGTCAGTTATAATTATTTCTCGATACGCTCTCGACCTGTTTGACCTGAAAGCAAATCGAACCAGTCTTCTCTACGTTTTTTAGAGATCACCTCTGAATTACTCGACGATTTCGTAATTACGTGCGCGCGCACAATACGTGATACATTTTTAACATGCTTTTGCTTTAACACGAACAGACGTAGAAAGTATCTAATATAACCCTCGTGCGTCACTTCCATAGAGTTCCGTTATTATAAAGATCGATTTGCGCGCGCGGCACAGAGTCGTTTCACTATCGTAACGAAACATCGAACGTCGACACAAATCACCACGAAAATCGAATATCACAGCGCGGCGACGTTGAAAACTAATAGTTTCGCACTGTCGTGACCACGAATGTCACAATATTTATGATCGGTCCTTTCCCGGCACTCGTTAACGTTAACCAAAGTTAACCAAAATTAACGTCCCAATCGTGATTATATGATGCGAACGAGATTAAAAGAAAAGAAACAAAAATGAGAAAAGAAGAAGAATAAAAATTAATGAACCGCGAAGACCGGGGCGGTAGATACGGCGGAGTGTCTGTTCAACTGCTCCCATAGAAACTCATAACATTCAACAATGAAGCTCATGACGTATACGTTGCAGCGTACGTCTCGTCACGGTTTCGTATATTCAAATGGGGGAACCCTATGAACCAGTTGCGTTCGTCTGCACGTCTCACTGTCGGATCTGGCCTGCCTCGCCATTCAAGCCGGAATTTTCAGACCCGCCATGAATAAGCGGAACGATATGCCGGCGTGCTGAGAGTATACAACGGCATTAGGAACGGAAAAACCAAAATATCCATTTCCGGGATGAGGAAATGACGAGACGAGATCGAAATATCTTTACCGTGTTAAGAAGCCTTTTATCAGCTTCTTTACAACGAGTGTAACGGCACCAAGTTTTTTTCCATGTTCATACATTATCAAATTAAATTTGCTTTACGCAATTATGTAAAAAAGCAAAGAGAACATAGAAAAATAAGGTGTTCGTGGAGAGAGTACTCCAAATAAACCGTAATAACAAACATGTTAATCCTTATAGTCCGGCTGGCTTTTTGTGAGTGACTTTTACAGTCTTTGAACTAGAACTTTTTCATATACATCAAAGGATAGATTAGTAAAAAACATGATATTCCCGCCACGTCACTATAGTAACTTCCCGGATCGTTCCAACTATTTTTTTAAATTAATTTCTTTTCTCTATTTAATCATACAGAAATATTTTTATTAAGAATTATTTTAAAAAACATAAATTTATCTCTTTTTTACATAATTATACAAAAATATACGCAGTGTGTCTGACGATAAAATAATGAACGCCCATGGGCGTGGAAATTGGATTACCAAATCGTCAGACATCCTGTACATGATAACAAAAGAAAAGTCAAAACAAAATTTCTGTTATTACTGGCATAAATTTAAAAATATACTATTAGTACATCTGTTGTAAAATGTAAAATAAACATACTTGTGTATTTATTTTTTTAAATTGTTTATTTGAAAAATGATTTGGATTTTTATATATTTCTTAAAAATTTTTTCTATATACTTTACTATCTACTACTATACTATCTAATACTAAAAATCTTTACTATATATATATTTATATGTATATATGTATATATATATATATATATATATATATATATATATAATTTGTATGGAAAAGGTGAGAAGTAATAATGATAATGATGATAACAATAGTAATAATAATAATAAGCATTGTATTTCGTAAAGTCAATGCTGCCGCGCCACTATAGCGGCTTCGCGGACTGTAAGGCCAATGAAGCAAGGATGACATCCGGATAACGGCTATTTAAATACTCGGCAAATTTTCCGAGGAACTTTCCTTAATGCGTTCGCCGAAACACACGCTCGATCGATTCCTCGCGATGCTCGAGGAACTCGAAGAAGCGGGACTCTCCGTCCGGTTGCAAAGTACCGTTCGTGAACTATCATGCACACATGCATACTGCAGCGTGTGCTATTGGTCACGAGGCACTATCGACATGGACGCGGAGCGGCCACGTTTTTCGTGGCGAACGTATCTCCTCATTGGGTCGCGTAACGGTAAAGCCACCGGTCGGTCAACGCTATTGAGGAACGTCCTCTTCCGCCGCGAGGCGTTTTATTTGAAAATGTCGGTGAGAGCATTCCCGGTCACATCGGCTGCCTTTCGCACTCTTTCGCGTTCGCGTCGTGCACGCGCGAGAGAGAAAGAGAGATAGAGAGAGAGAGAGAGAGAGAGAGAGAGAGAGAGAGAGTGAGAGAGAGAGAGAGAGAGACGTTTATCTTGCTCTTTCCCGATTTATCCGTCTACAATCCGTTTGATTGTTCGCTCGTTCGCCCGTTCATTCATCTATCCGTCCACCTGTCCGTCCGATCGTCCGTATTCTTCGAATCCGGCGAATTCGCCTGTGTCCATTCTGTGTCGCGATGCGCATTGTCCTACTATTTTCCTCCAGCAATCGGTCGCTCCGTTGCCACGGAACGTTCCTTCCGTCTCCTTTACCCGCTGACGTTCGCCCCGCTGCCGACTCCCGGAATCGCGGCTGTCACGAGAACGCTGCTCTTCCTTCCTCTCTCTCTCTCTCTCTCTCTCTCTCTCTCTCTCTCTCTTTCTGCCATCTTCCTTCTCCCATTACGATATTACATTCTTACGCGTGAATAAGTCCCAGCAGCTTGCGATTTTTAGATGGAGCGGCAATCGAAGGAAGGTTTCGCGAGACTCGCAACGGGCGAGTATCGTCGAAGTGGTGCGCGATTGAAAAAAAAAAATAAAAGTTTCTCTCTCGAGAAGTCCGCGACTCTGGGGAGAATTCATCGGAATTTGTCGGAATGTATCGGAGCACTGATTAAAACGCAAATTAAAGAGTATTCTGCGTGCGCATGCAGATGCGCTTACGATCGAGCGTTGATTGAAAAGGACATCGACGCGCACTCGAAAACTCGAGCCGACAAAGTCACGCGAGAAGGATCGGAGGGATTATTATTATTATTATTATTGTTTGTTCGCCGGTTGAATATGAACGTTTCTCGTCTCTCCCGTTCCATGTCGACGCTTTGCTAAGTTCTTCGGCAAATTACGTCTTCGCGAGATCGTCGCGCATCTAGCTTCTCTTTAAGCGTCCCGTCAATCACAATCGTTGCTGCAATTTGTCGTAA